GCACAAGGATTGTCTTTGAATAACTGCATCGAATCGGGTACCAATCTTATAGAACTAATCCCTAAATTATTGATGAACTTTAGGAAAGGTACGTACGGCGTCACGTCGGATATAAAGCAAGCCTTTCTGCAAATTTTAGTTTCAGAGAAAGATAGAGAGTATTTAAAGTTTCTGTGGTGGGAGAATCCGTTGACCAAAGAGAAGATAGTCACTTTCAGACATAAGAGAGTAGTATTTGGGGTGACTTGTAGTCCGTTTCTCTTGGCGGCTACGATTAATTATCACTTAGGCAATTTTGAAGGAATGTACGGTCAGACAGTTGAAATTTTGAAACACTCCTTTTATGTTGATAATTGTGTAGCTAGTTTTGATACAAAAGAGGCTTTATTTACTTTTATAGACGAAGCTAAGGAAGTTATGCTAAAGGGGGGTTTTGATTTACGATGTTGGGTTACCGCTCCTATTAGAGTAGATAACACTGTCCAGACTCAATCTGTATTAGGAGTGCTATGGAATACTCTTACGGACGAATTACAGTGTAGTTTCCGTCTTAGTAACACTATACCAGATCGGGTCACGAAGAGAGATCTTTTGTCATTAACTCAGCAGATATTTGACCCTATTGGATTAGTGCCTAAACTAATAGTACAAAAGGCTTGGATAGATAGTACAGGTTGGGATCAAGCTATCAGCAACGAGTTATCGAAGGAATTTAAGAGTTGGCTAAATCATGTTCATCTGATAAATGATAGCAAGTTGCCGAGACGCTTATCAGAGGAGAGGTTGACGAACTGTAACAAAAGTTTACATTTGTTTTGTGACGCATCTATTAATGCTTAATGCAGGTTGTGTCTTTCTTCGGACCGAATGCAAAAGTAAAGTTACGATTAGGCTGGTTATGGCCAAAAGTAGAGTAGCGCCAATTAAAAGATCAATAACTTTACCTAGATTGGAGCTAATGGGAGCGCTTATTGCATCGCGGCTTGCAAATGAGATAAGTAGAGCGTTGTTTACCGACGACACCTGCCCGTTATATTGTTGGACAGACTCCGCGGTTGTGTTAGCCTGGATCCAAAGACAGTGTTCTTGGAAGCCGTTTGTGAGCAATAGGGTAAGTGAAATTTGTGCTCACACTAAGAAGGAACATTGGCGGCACGTACCGGGCCACTGCAATCCGGCAGACCTACTGCCACGTGACTGTAATATGAAGACATTAATGGACAGTCACTGGTGGGATGGCCCTGCTTGGCTATTATCTGACCAAGAACTGTGGCCTCAGTCTAATCACATCGCAGTAGATGAGAACGCTGTTTCCATAGAAGCAAAGAAGGAGGTACTTGTAAATACTAATGTAGATACTGAACATTTTAGCGAGAAGCTTTTATACTTTTCTAAGTATTCAAGGATTGTACGTATAGTAGCTTGGATATTCCGGTGGAGAAGGCGACGAATGTTTAGTACAGCTTATATAAGCAATGATGAATTCGAAGAAGCTGAGAATATACTTATAAGACTTATTCACGGTGAACATTATGTAAATAGAACTAAATTGAATAAGAAACTGTGCATACATTTAGATAGTAATAGTATTATGAGATTAAAGACTAGATTAGGTTTAGGAAAATATGATAAAGATTTTTCGAGTCCCATATTATTACCAGGGAAAAATGCCATTGTGAGGCGACTCGTTGAAGAGAAACATATATACTTAAAGCACATTGGATCACATACTTTAATGTCAGAGCTGAGAAACTGATTCTGGATTACAAGTGTGAGATGGCTATGTAAGGATATAGTTAAGAAATGCATAATTTGTCGTATGCAAAAGGGCATACATTATGATACACCGGAGGCACCACTCCTTCTTGAACGGATTCAAGGCACGGCAGCGTTTCAAATGACAGGTATAGATCTGGCCGGGCCGTTGTATTTACGTAATCAAGAGAAATGTTGGGTGGTTTTATTTACTTGCGCGACATTTAGGGCTGTGCATTTTGAGATGGTAGACTCATTGTCCACAAATAGTTTTATTATGAGTCTTCGTAGATTTATTGCTCGAAGAGGTCGTATAGACGTCATTTTCACAGACAACGGAACAAATTTTCGAGGGACTGCCAATTTACTGAAGGATATTAATTGGCAGGAGGTTGAAAGTGTGACGGCAGTCCATGCTATAAAGTGGCGTTTTATTCCACCTAGAACTCCTTGGTGGGAGAGGCTCATTAGAATATTAAAGGAGATGTTGCAAAGAATATTGGGGCGTCAGCGATTGACTTGGGTAGAGTTGGACACAGTCTTGTGCGATTGTGAAGCTGTCATTAATAGTCGGCCACTAACATATGTCTCGACTTGTACCGACGATTTGCGGCCACTTACACCTATGTTATTTCTACATGGCTTACCTTCTAATGATACTTCTGATTTAGATTATGTAAAGATAATATGAATTTAAATGTAAGATACAAATATTTACAAAAGTTGAGAGAAGATTTCAGAGTTCGATTTCGTAAGGAGTATTTGGCTTTACTTACAGCTAGATGGAAGGAGAAGACTATAGAAATGAAGAAAGGAGATATAGTTCTAGTAGAGACAGACGCGAAAAGGCTATTTTGGCCCTTGGGGTTAATCATGGAAGTAGTTACCGGGGACAAAAGGTGAAACTATAAGACCATGTCAGAGAGTGTATCCGCTTGAGATTTCAAATGATTCTGACCTCTTGCAACGAGCTGAAGTAACGATAGAGGATGAGAAGTTATCAGTAAGTTCAGATAGTCCCGACTTACACTCCTCGGTTACAGGTAGCGCGAAGGTGACGAAAACAACGCGGTGCGTTCGAAATGTGAAATTGCCTGCTCGGTACTTATGAATTACATTTGGTTTTATGGTTTTCCTTAGTATGTTGAGTTGCGTTAATTGGTTACCATTTTCTTTCGGGTTCTTCTGTGTTGAAGATAAATAAATATTGTCTACGGCCTTTTTAGGTTTTTTTATATCTAGTGACTTGTTGTCATGGTTACGAAAATAACAAGAAAAATGTAAGACTAGTTTTTTGTAATAAGTATGTTTTTGTTAGAAGAATAAATGTTTCAAGTCTAAGAAATCTTCTTATTTCAATGTGAGGAGTTACATACAACGGTCAATACAGAAGCTCCCCACATCGTGACTACAAATGAAAAAAACATGTCAAAATTGACATTTTACTCTCCGTTAAGAGTAATGGTGTTCTGTGCATTTTACAGTAAGCCTAGGCCTACGGCATTGCCTCATCGAAATTAGGTAAATAAATAATAATAAAAATGTTGTTTAATGTTGAAAACAAAAAATCTACCCCATATCGAATCGGAGTAACACACTGGATAACTTTTGGAGACAAATTAGAATTGGATTTTTTTCCACTAGCATTGTATTATTGCAATAATTTATACATTATCACACGGCATCTTTATTGCTTTCAAAGTAAACTACAATTTTAAAACCATAATGCTATATTATTTTATTGTGTTTATATATGTTTTTCGTCCCGTAAGTTGATAGGAGACAAATAAATTTTATATGCAGCTTTATTTTGTTGATTCAAAAATATTTTTTTATTTTTTATATTTAAGCCTCTTGAATATTATGGTTATTTCTACATTATTCTAAACATGATTATCAATTTTATTAATTAATAATATTATCATACTTTTTGTTAGCGTATGGTATTCACAAAAAACATGGGCTAACTCAAAACTTTTAAAAAGTACATTTTTTTACGACCTTACCCATATAATAATTAAGTAAACAAATATTTATATAAAATATAATAAATATTTATTTATCTATTTATTTTTGATTATCATTATGTTTTTCTAAGTCATAGCCTTCAACACAATTGAAAAAAACTATTGTACCCCTATCTTTTAAATACCATTTCTCTTCTCATACTGAAGTTGAGGCAAGTAATGTGGTGCAGCATTATTCGCCCACACATACACATTACACGCACACCGGTATATTTTGATTTTGGTCTCGCTCTCGCCGCCAGTCTATACTAAGTATACTACACTATATCTATGGAAGGATAAAAATGCACAATAATGTTCATGATTTTGAAATAAAAGCCCTTGGAGTTTAGAAAAAGTTCGTATATTAATTATTTGCGATTTCAAAGTATTTTATACACAGTCATAGTACTTATAATGTACCACCTACAACACAAAATACCGTCAATAAAACTTAAATAAGATCAACACTAATAAGATCAGAATATCGTAAGACGATAAATTAAAAGCACTCAATGATAGCTATATTTTTTTAAACTTTTTAGCTTATATTTTTGAGATGTAATTCATATCTATTTTAGAACATACATTTTATTCAAGAAAGTTACAATTTTAGGTATAGAAAATTAATGCCAACACATCCTTGGAATGAATTCTGTTGTCCAAACTTAGCACACTAGTGTTTTTGTTCTTCACTGTATTTCTTCATTTCTTATTTATCGTCTCCTTCGTCGGCGCGAGTCCCCATTATAGCCGTTCTCTGTAATACGATTTATATGGTCAATCTTCTGTTTCTCAGTTGAAACTGAATATTTAAACAGTTATTGTATCGTATACACTGTGGGTTCAAGTGACCCAAAGGAATTTTACCATGGATTCCTTACAATGTTTGTAGAAAAAAATATTTTTGTGAAATAACTGTGAATGAAATCAATTCCTAATAAATACAGTCCCAAATAGTATAAAGCGGCAATCTTGAGTAAGTAGGTGAGTTATGTTTTATTTCATATAAAAATAATAAAAACTTAATTTACAAATCAACACATGTACATAATACAACATTTTTACTCTTAATACCACCAGGAAGCCATGATTAAAATCCTTCAGATGTAATTAGGTCCAATGGTGTTTAAATTATACACCAATTTTGTACCTGAGAATCAGTGGATAATTTGCACAATATGTAATTTTTATGTATGTGAGTTTGGACTGGTTTGAATATAACAAACCTCGTGGTATTCACCGCCGTTGGCGATTCCTCTGGCGGTTATTATTGTACCCCATGGAGCCATTAACCTGCACATCACCGGAACCATTCTGGTTCAAGCCAAGGCCAGATGGCCTTCCTGGTCCCATATTTTGCTGATCATATAACTCCATTCCATTATAATTGTCATTTCTGAATGTGTCATTGGCATTATTATCATCTTGGTTTCTTTTATTATTCTTAGAACCATAAGAGCCAAATGCTGTAAAATTAGCACCTTGTGGTCCAAAGTAGTTCTCACCGGGTTGGGGAAGCATGCGCGGCATTTGGCCCCCATGGGGTACACCGAGTCCGCCAGAGGCCAATCCGTAGGAGGCCTGACCCAGGCCGCCGTCAAGACCGCCGGATCCTTGAGAACCGAGACCACCACCCGGACCATCCGAGTCGTAGTCGTTGTTTCGTCCTCTTCCTCGTCGACGTCTGTCTCGACCTCCTCTCGATCTCGAAGAGCTTTGGCCTTCATTAGACCCGAGGCCTCCGTCAGAGCCGAGACCCCCGCCTGAGCCGAGGCCTCCGCCGTAGTCACGATCATCGCTGGTGCTGTGGCCGCGGCCAGAGCCCAGGCCCCCGCCAGAGCCAAGGCCCCCGCCGGAGCCAAGGCCACCGCCGGAGCCAAGACCACCGCCGGAGCCACGGCCACCGCCGGAGCCAAGGCCACCGCCGGAGCCAAGGCCACCGCCGGAGCTAAAGCCCCCGCCGGAGCTAAGGCCCCCGCCGGAGCCAAGGCCACCGCCGGAGCTAAAGCCCCCGCCGGAGCTAAGGCCCCCGCCGGAGCCAAGGCCACCGCCGGAGCCCAGACCACCGCCTGAGCCAAGACCACCAGAGCGGGCGCCTCGCTTTCTGGAATCTGACTCTAGGCCGCTTTCCCCATAGCCACTTTGTTCTTTGTTATAGGTATTAATACTGCTTGAGGAGCCGGAAAGTGGAGGAGGAGGTGGTGGTGGAGGAGGTGCCGCCCAACCGGTAGGAGCAAGCATAGGACTAGAATTAAAAGGTTGCATCATCATACCATATTGATCAGCAGGAAAGAATTGTGGCATAACAAAACCTTGACCATTCATTGGTGGTGGCATGCACATTTGAGGATTGAGAGCCATTAACGGCGGAATTTGATTGGGCTGTTGCTGTTGCGGCGGCAGCGGCGGCGGCGGCTGCTGGTGCTGCTGTTGTAATTGTTGTTGAACATCATTAGTTGTTCTATCATTTCTTCTCATATTTGAGTCTTCATTACGTAGAGTAGTTGAAGAACCTATATTATTCTGTAATACAGGAAGCTGGGGACCAATTGGAGTAGGTAGAAGTGGCTTTGGAGTAGGCAGTAGAGCTTGGCCCACGGGCTTTGTGGCAGCGATAGTAGCGTCCTGACTGCACTTGCCTGAACGTGAACGGCTACGTGAACGGGAACGAGAGCGGGAACGAGATCGAGAATGACTTCTCGATGATCTTGATGATCTGCTTCGTGAAGATCTTGATGAACTATGACGGCGACGCCGTCGGTCCCGAGAACGCGATCGAGATCGAGTGCGACGGCGACGCGAACGTGATCTTGAACGGGATCTTCGCCCTCTACGATATCTTCCTCCACGACCTCGATGACCTAGTCAATAAAGAAATTATAAATAGAAATCGCAACTTAGTATATAATTGTGTGCACATAAGGTACTTCATCTAAAACTTACGTCGTCCACCTCCACCTCCACGCTCAGCAAGTTCTTGCAATTTAGGGTTTACAACTTGTTTAGCTTCTTTTAATACTGAGATAAGATCTCCTGCTTTAGCAGCATTTGAAGGTGTAAAGAAAGTATAAGCTGTTCCAGTTTTATTTGTCCTTCCTGTTCGTCCAATGCGATGCACATAATCTTCGGAGTTGCTTGGATAGTCAAAATTAATGACAAACTTAACATCATCAACATCTGCAAAATAATGACGATTATTAGTGTTAACATTTTATATCAACTTTGTGATTTAAATATAAGAACATTATACTAACCTAAACCTCTAGCTGCTACATCTGTGGCTACAAGAATAGGAGCTTTTCCACTTCTAAAATCTGAAAGATAAGACATGCATATCAGAAACCATTTGACAAATTATTATTACATTACGAGAAGAAAAACTACTGCTTAAGTATTTATAACTGTCATATTGTCATGTGTAAAATCATAATTTTTAACGGTTAATGTATAAATGTTGCATTGCTGCAATATTTACTACTAGGAGTGTTTGTTTGTCTTATTCAAGCATTTTAGGCCATTTTTATGTTGGTGTCATAACACTTGTAGTATCGGTGTTCTTGAGCTTAAGGTTTAATTTTATTATAATATTGTAATAATATAGGGTCATATTATGTTATGTGAACTGCAAACCTGATCTACATATGAGTAGTACATTTGTAATTTGCTGCACTAAGGATCAAGGTCAAGTCTTACTGACTTCAACCCCAACCCCAGAATGTACACGATTATGGAATATAATGAGAAAATTATACCAAATAAACTATCCAAGTATCATACAATCCAAAAAGAATGGTTTTCATTGTTCTTTACTTTTATATTTTATGATTTTAAATTATTAATGGCCGAAATAAATATAATGATTTCTAAAATCAATCAAAATAGAGTAGAAATGTATTTTGTATGTTTTCAACTGTACCTTGAACATAATTTATTTCGTGGATTAGGTTACTTCTGCCCATTTTTAAAAATCCCTTTTTTAAATTCATGAGAATATATTGAAGGAGCTAAAAATTTATTTCTTAAAATAAAGAATTCCAGATATTTTCTCCATTTCTTCCTTTAAATCTTCAATGTCAAATATAATTTCAAATTTACATACCTCAGTTTTTTATATTTCAATAATTAGAAAATCTACATAGTAATCTCAAACAAGTGGTAACATCAAAAATCTTGTACAACCAACTTCAAAATAATTATAATGAAAACACCATCAATCTATTCAGTCAATTAAATATGCACTATTAAAGACAACTCTAAAACTACTGGTCAGATCTTGATTAAATTTATGAGACCACGAGAGAAGCATCAGCTTTTAGGTAAAAAAAAAGAATCATGAAAATCGGTTCACCCAGAGAACAGTTATGAGGCAACACACACTTAAAAAAAACCTAAAATTACTTTTGTATAAAAGAGTGCAAAATTAGCGCACAATCCATCACACACAAGTAAATTATGCTGAGATCTATAAAGAACGAAATGCTGATGCAATATTTGTAAGGATTAAGATGGAATGCCTCAACAACACTATAAGGGATCTCAGTTCTTGACATTCATCATCAAAAACACAGCAGTATGATATCTGCTATTTCACACTGGTATTCTGTCGAGTACTTCCCCAATCAAGCAAACCTATTCATGTTGCATGTGCTACATCACAAGGCTACCACTGAACTCCCCATTCATAAATCAACAACATTTATCAATTTTGTATGATTCATCCGATGGTCACTCTTTCTGGTAGACACTACCTTGGGTGACACACCCAATGCTGTGATTACCAGTATGCTACTCGAGAACCTTTTTCCCAATAGAATGTACTTAGATTCTTTGAACTCTGAGGGCAGCTCATTGACACTTGAGCCTGATGATCTATTTGTTAGTCATGTATTCTTTTTCTGCAAGGAAAATCCCCATCTAGGGAGTTTACCTTGCAAATAAACCCCAAGCATAACCCTATAGCTTACTAACTGAGTTTCCTTATATGCAATATCTGACTGCTATTTACAAGTTGTATGGTTTGAAAACATAATGATGATTATCTTTTTCGTTACAAAGTAATAATAACTAATAACAATATTGAAAGTGTGTTAGCACAAACAAACACTCTAAATATTGTAAATGTATGGCAACTGCATACAAAATTCCTTTACACAATTTTCCTTTTTGGTCTATATCTCTTTTTAAACTGGTTCTCATTTATCGTCAACTTTGATTACTTTTACAACAAATTTAGAATGTAGTGGTATTCCATTTTATTTAAATATTGCTCCCATAAAAAAATACAATATGACAGATCTGACATACCAGCACTCATGCAATGTACTGATATTATAAAAAATAATATCAGTATTTAGCAGTGCAGCTTATTATGAATCAATATATATATATATATATATATATATATAGTTTTTTACTGCTTCAAATACTATAACATACTGATTCACTGCAGTGGATAAGTCTGAAGGGTAACAATTAAAAACTCAAACAAATATTATTACAAGTGTGATTTTCGAGGAAACTTACTAATAAATAAAATTCCAATGTATAATAACGGTGGTTATTACTCATGAAAAAAAAATCAAGTGAGAGCGAGAGGCCGACCAGGGCAGCACAAGACAGAACAGAGGCGCCAGGCCAGGCGCGCGTGCGGCCTGGAGCACTCGGCCTGCGCACCGTCGCCGTCGACGGCGCACAGCAATCGGCGAGGGGGCGTACCCCACCGCGCCGCACGCGCGAGAAGCGGCTCAGACTAGCCGCGGTGGCAAGTCAGAGTGCATAGGGCTTAGCCCCGTCAACTAGAGGCGGTGCGATGCGGACGCGGCCGCAGGCGCGTCTCGCCGCCGCCGATGCCTAGCGGCGACGTTTGCACGCTTGCCGCCGCCTCCGCCGCCCAGCCGCAGTCTCCACGGCCTGCACATGCAGACACATGCTCAGCAACTGTTTACTTGCTATGTAATCGCTCCCCATTCAAGGCACTCAAACCCTTCAGTCCGATACCGCTTCTCGATTGCCAGTAAGTACTTCACTATTTTATGCTCTCAATAGTTTACTTTGAATAAAGAATTTTTAAGTTTTTAAACATATATAAATAAGATATCATATTAAAAAAGGTATGTTACAAAACACTTCTTTATGGCTGTAATTGACAATCAATTACCTTGCAATACCCAATCTCGTTCATTTTGTGACTTATCACCATGAATACATACAGCAGGCCATCTGCAAACAATGTTTATTTTTTATATAAGTTTCAATCATGTCAATGTACTTTATTTACTGTTATCATTACAGCATATTGAAGTTTGCTGCTGCCACATTTGGGGGATGTTTGCCATAATTGCCAGGCTTAGCAAGTGGGTCAGTCACTGCAGTTTTATATTTTAGTCATTATTAAGAAAATGTTGCTGACCATCTCCTGATGTGTTCCTCTCTGTCACCTCTTACAACACCCACGGGCTGATATGGGGTAGTGGATATCCTTACACCGCCAATTCACAGTTTATTTGGAACAAATTTGGTATCAGTTTGAGTATGGAACACTAACAAAATAGATATAATGCATAAAATCAATTTTTTATCATCTCACTTTTTTAAAAGGTGGTTAAAATTAAAATTTAGTTTACGATTTGAAGTATACACACCCATCCTTTTTCATTTTCCTAGTAATATCATCAACACGTCGCTTTGTTTCTATAAATATTATAGTTTTATTCTCTTTTTCAGCCATAATTTCTTTTAGAAGAGTGCTTAATTTTGTTTCTTTTTCATACTCCATACAAACATCAATAATTTGTAAAATATTGTGATTTGCAGCTAATTGCAGGGAACCAACATTAATTTGTAGATAATCTTTAAGAAATTCGGAAGCCAAGCTTTGTACCTCCCTTGGCCATGTAGCAGACCACATGAGGGTCTGACGATCAGGTCTAATTTGTTCTATAATTTTTCTAATCTGTGGTTCAAAACCCATATCCAACATTCTGTCAGCCTCATCTAAGACCAAATAGGTGCATCTCTTTAAATTAGTTCTTCCACTTTCCAAAAAGTCTAACAGACGCCCTGGAGTAGCAATAACAATTTCTACCCCCGCATCCAGGTCTCTTGCTTGAGGCCCTTTAGGAGCACCTCCAAATAAACAAGTGTTATGTATTTTAGATGTGTTAGCAAATTTATCACACACTTCTTGTATTTGTTGAGCTAATTCTCTAGTAGGGGCTAAAACTAACGCAATGGGTCCATCACCTCTGCTAGACTTAGGTTGGTGATTTATGTGAACAATAGCTGGCAATATATAAGAGAGTGTTTTACCAGATCCAGTAGAAGCAATTCCAACCATATCGTACCCACTAAGAGCTATAGGCCATCCTTGAGCTTGAATGGGCGTAGGCTTGGAAAATCCCATTTTGTCAATCTCGTCCATAACATAATCTGGAAATCCAGCCTCATCAAATGTCAATGTAGGTTTAGGAATGTTCCGACCTTTTAATGTTATTTCATTTTCACTTCTCCAAGCTTCAACTTCAGAATCAGGTCTGCTTTCTACGTCTGGATGAGGGACATAAAAGTCTTTCTTAAAGGGCTTTAGCCTACTCAAATCCCATTTAGGTTTACGCAAACTAGCTCCTGGATTGCTACGGCGTCCACCTCCACCATAACCACCGCCGGATCCTAAACCATAACGAGGGCTTCGACTCCGACTTCTGCTCCTACTTCTGCTTCGGCTGCGACGTCTATCACGGCTACGATCTCTAATTGAAAAACGGATTTTAATTAATAATATAAGTATTAAATAAAACGTAATATTAATCGTCGGAACGTAATAATAATTGTTACCTTCCTCGTCCCATATTGAAGACTCAAGTGAATCTATGTATTTGTAATGCGAAAATCACAACGTATTTATTAACTTTCAAAGAAAAATATGTAAATATTACTTCAATTCACAGAAATTGCGACTTAGCACATTTCACAAAACGCTTTCAGACGCCATGGGCAAAACAAGATGGCGACCGCTACTTTATGCAAATTGGTAATGTTGTACTCTGTGCTAGACATGGCCTTCAAATCACGTCCAAGGAACATACTACTAACAAAGTACTGTGCATACTACTCTCTGGAGAGAGATCACGTCACTATTTACAATGACTAAGCATACGTTATAATAGTTTATAGTATATAGTTATAGTACTCTTATTATTTTGTGGACTAAGATATAGCCGAATACTAGTTTTGTATCGAATGACAAACTAGTGATTTTTATAAGACCGTGATTTTTCGTACGTTTTTTGAATTGTTGCACTCTTTTCATTGCAATTTTGCAATTTGAAGAATGGAATATATTGCGCGTATTGTATCTTACGTTTCGCGCTCGTACACTTAATGGCCATATAAGGCATAAATCCTAAATATTTTAAAAATATTGAAGTGGTGTAAAAAATATTAATTTATTAACTTGCACATAATCTAGGTTATAATTATGGTAAAATGAACTTAATACGCATCTAATATTACTATGCTATTCATTATAAATAATATTTCAGGCATGTTTTGATTTTATATGAAGGTATAAAGTTTATGAATTATCTACCAAACTATAAAAACGTAAAGCTTGCGATAAATAGAGTAGTCACCTAATATTTTCGTTTTATAAGAAATTGAAATACTTCGGTAAAATCACCGTGCCTAGAAACCATTACTGTGTTAAAAAATTCTGTACTGAAATCACCAGTCACTAAAACTAGTGACATCTTCTCGTCACTAGTTACGTTACGTTTCGCGAAAATCACGTGACGACCACGTAGTCTTTGCCATTGACATATTCAATCTCAGGGTTTTGCGTTCTGATTAGCACCATTTATTCTGTGCTAGTATTTTTTTTAATTAAAAAACGTTTCCCCTACACTAAGATTTTCTCTTGTATCGTGGGGGCAGCTTACAAACATAAATTGCAAAAGGACAAACATCCAGGCCCGGAACAACTATATGTAGGCCATGCAAATACTTTTTTCGTGCGGGATTCGAACCCGCGACTCCCAGTGCAGCCACTCATTGCTAAGCCACTGCGCCACGGAGTCGTCCACCTATGCATTGTTGCTCATATATTAGTATATAAAATATAAAAGTGGATTTTGCTACCAACGGTGGGGCGATTTTGTATCTTAAGTTTCTACGCATTTAAACTATTAGAGTGAAAACGATGTTATAAGTCCGTTGATAGAAATTTTATTCTTTCTTTAAAGTTTTTAACCACTTGACGGCTTGATGTACTATCGTTGTCAATTTTCCACTGAATTAGGCTATTTGCAAAATTTCCCAAATACTTCGCAGTCTTTAAGTATTAAACAAAGCGCGCGAGGCCACGCGCGTTAATTCCCGAACAAAAAAGTCTGTCAATGTCAGGGGGGTGCAAGAATAACCTCAGAGTAATTACTAGCACAGAGAGTCTTAAAAACAGAATAAAACCTCATCTAACCTAACTCTTTATACATATGGCATTTTCTACAGGATAAAAAAAGTTAGTTATATGAATCTCACCATTTCCCCTTTACAAGGTTGTATAAATCTTTGACTAGAGAAGAAAGAAAGGACATGACATACCTACGAAAAAAACGTGTATACCTAAACTGAGTCTGGCACAAAAATGGCGGCTTGACGTAGTGCTGCGCACTATACTTAATATCGATAATGTGGCGCTTAAAGATTCTTTTATGTGATTCGTCTCAAACACCCGTGTGTTCTTAAATAGATTTTTTAATCAATATGACGGATTTTTGACGCTAAATTGTAAGTCCTTAATTTTTTTTTACTCAACCTATCGATAGGGGTATTAAAATAAAGGAAATTAAAAGGAGATTACTGAAATATATTACAAGTTATACCTATGTTTTCAGTTCATTACGTTTAAGCAGTCATTTTTTGTTTTTATAATGTAATTATCTATTATTAATGTTACAATTATTTCCCGGGAATTACTAAACAAGGAATAATAATTAAAAAAAATTGTTTTTTTGTTTGTTAGACAATAAATTAGGCTCAGTCATCATACTCACACTAATCAAACTATAATAAATGCAAAAGTTTGAATGTTTGTTTGTTCCTCAAACACGCCAAAAGTATCAGACTAGTTTGAATGTAATAATTTGGCACACAAATAGTTTATTATCTGAATTAACATATAGGATACTTTTTATCCCAATTTAGAGGTCCCGAGAAATAGAATAAGAAATTTCGTAATAATCGAATTCCACGAGAGAAACATATGAAAATAACACACTCACCTCACTAAAGTCGCAATGACAACTGATATAGTTGTCTTTGACTGCGTCAAAACATGGCGCCCGTCCACAGCGAAAAAATTGTTGCCATATTCGGTAATGATAAAACTAATGTGGTCCTTTTTTACATACGAATATACTCATAAGCTAAAAAGAGACACCGATATTTCATTACATTCCTACAACAAAAGATCTTTAGGTCATGTCCTTTCTTTTTTCTCTAGTCAAAGGTATAAATATATAATATAATGTCATAGGTACTTTACGGGCATGCCGACCTAATTAGCTCATGCCCATAAAGTATGACATTGACAGGTACTGTCTGTACTACTAAGAAATTCAGGACTTCATAGGCGTGATTTTTACTGACAGCTGCCGCAGAGATCAAGCTATCTTTTATGAACCACAGACGTTTTTTTAGCTTTTTATATACCATAGACAATTATAGTGATGGTAGGATGGATTTTTTTGGACGTATAAGAGCTATAAATTATAGAAATGTTAACCCAGATGCAAACACATTTATAAATGCCTTTAAATCTTTGATATTATCTAACATGCTTAGTCCACATTCCAAGTTCTCTAATTGTGAAGAGGGTAATGGAGAAAGATTATTAAATGTTAGTGTTCTTTTTAAAAACCTTCATAATAATAAAGAAAATGACTCGGAAAACACTACCAGTGTTTTGCGAGATCTCCCATCTTCTTCACAAGCAAGTTCAGGGGAAAAATTGCTGGTGAATGATGTAGTCATGGAAAAAATTGAAGTCCACTGCTCAGCTTACACTGCTGGATACATTTGTCGGAAAATAACGAAAGCGATTCGTTGTAAGAATTGCATCAAAACATAGCAGTACAGAGACAAACATTCATTCTTACATTAACTTTAGAGAGTATAAATTGTTAAAAAATAATAATTTGGCATACCCTAACGAAAAATTCCTTATCTTGTATAGGGATGGTACTCACTATATTCATAACTATTTGAATTATAGCTGTATTGGAAGTAATATAAAAAGTAATTTGAAAAGAAAAATGTTGAGCACTTTCAGTTTTTCCTGCCTAGGGTGTGATAAGCATGCCTTAATTGTCAAAAACTTTTTCATCAATATTTTAATTAGATTACATGGACAAAATTGGTGCAACATAAATAATAAAATATTGAAGGGTGATATTGATGAAAAATATGTATTTAAAATGGGTGAACCCCAAAAATTGGCCTTAAAGAAGTATAAAAGTTTTAGGTTAAGAAAAACATGTTTAAGTAAATAAAATGTTGATGAAGTGACGACCTGGATATGCTGGTGGTTTAGGACAGTGATTTGTGGCATTTCTTGGGGAAGTCTACGTTCAGCAGTGGACTTGTGAAGCGCTGTAATGATGACGGTGGTGAAATAAAATGTTCGATTCCCGAAACGTAAATGCTGTTTCAGGTCCCCGCAAAGCAAATATATAACGAGGCGATATTGCGAATGGCTATGTTGTGTGTGCCGGACAGGTACGTGTGGCGCCGGCAGCGGCCCCTGCTGTTCGCGACACCACGCGCCCGTACCAACCTTCTAAAGGAGGCCCACTGACCCGAGTGCTGCACACTCTAAATAAAGTAGCTCAGGATGTAGATTTAATCTGCTGTTCCTTGGGTGAATTTACCATAGTGACATTATATGTATTATGTTATAATAGTAGATAAGTTGTGTTCTGTCCTTATTAGATAATCATAATATAAATAAAGTTACATATAATAAATAAATATACTTATTAAATCTCTGATTGATGTTGATATTTGTTTATTTTTCAGATGCTTATCATGGAACAACCTCCAAGTGAAAGTACCACACCAAGGAGATAAATGTTCTTTTTATAAGTAATTTATAATTTTTTTATAGGATAAGGGTGACAAATGAGCACACAGTCTATCTGATGGTAAGTAGTTGCTGGGGGCCATAGACATCTACATCTATCAGCAGATGCGTTGTCACCCGTGAGGCACTAAGATGGAATGCCTCATTTCCAATAAAAAGGGGTCTCCGGTTCTCTACACTCACCATACGAAACACAGCAGCGTTAAGCTGCTATTTTACGCTGGTATTCTCTGAGAGTGTGGTCCCTCCCCGGTCGAGCCGACCCATTCGTGCTGCAACTATACCAGTAATATACCTGCAGCATGGCTCTACCACGTACAATTGCCATATAACTTAGTTATGTGATAATATAGAATAAACTGAATGATAAATTCAGTTTATTCTTAGACATAATTAGGTAAGTTTCAACATATCTATTAGTTCTTTGTTCTTCATCTAATCTAAAGATTACGGTTCCACTACACTTCAATGGTTTTATCAACAACTCTTTTAGTACTAATTAAGGTTACACTTATTTGGAACTCCGTGCCTGAAGACATTGAGAAAGCTCCTGATAATGAATGTGTACAATGTTAATCTTTATATGTTTTTTGTTTCTTATTTACTGCATCTACCACTTTATTTTCACCACACCATGGGTTGACCAATAAAAAATGCCAACTGCCATGAAACCACCCTTTTGTTACCTTAATATAAATAATATATAATTTA